AGCATAAACTGCAAGGACTGTGAACAAAAATACATCGGAGACGAGAAGGACAATCAGCACAAGGATCAAAAAACATCAACGACTATGCAGAAAAATGGATACAGAAAGATCGGAGATAGCTGAACACATTGCCGTTACTGGCAACAAAATTGACTGGAATGCAACGGAAAGACTGGTCTCATATGGGGAAAACACCAGGAAACAGAAGATCAGAGGCTGTGGTATCTCTGTCAAAAAACCTAATAAAGAGGAAATTGGAAGAGGGAAGAGTACTGACTGAGCAGACTTGGAGATTCAACGAAGACATCAAAAGAAGACGCTTGGACCCAGAACAAATATTCAACAAAAGGAAGAGACATCACCAACGAGCGTCTCATGACGAACAAATTGAAGTCAAGAAAAGGCGACTACAGTGAGATGAGTCAGAGTGGAATTGGCCAAAAAGTTATCCAGGGGATTCACCTATGAGATGAAGGATATGAAATTTAAGGGTATATGTATAGGTGGGCTAGATAGAGATAACCAGTGTGTGCGCGTAGGTATTGTGTATATTCTTCGTATCTGTGCCTGAAGGGGAGGCGACTGGTGACAGGCTTGATCACGGGGGATACCAGTCAACACACACATATATACATCATCCCAGAACCCTAGGATTAAATAGGAATGCCAACTATAAAGACGAGAGGAGTGCGCTTTTCGCGATTCAAAGGATAAAAGGAAAGCCGCGCATTCTCACACCAGCAGTTATGACTTAAGCTGGACACAGTACTCCAAAGAATGAGACAATGTAGTTGGGAATGAGAAAGACGATAACCGAATCATGGGTTTGAAGCATGAGGAGAGGAAGATTTCCAGGCACTGGCATGTGCATGGGAATCATCTGCTCTAAATCCTCGAATGCGGCGTAATCGAGGACGATAATTGAAGGTAGCCAGATTACAGACAGCTAAACAGTGATTTTGATGTCTAGCAGCTGCCAATTGACAAGCGGATAGGGAAAAAAGGATGGCAGAATGTGGATCTGGAGCTGGTGGTGAAGATGATTACGCTTAACTAAATCCACTTGAAGCCACACGCTCTTAGGCGAAATTGGAGGAAATGAGAGCACAGAATTGTGTGAATAAGTGGATGGGCCATATAAGTGGGGTTGAGAAAAAGTGATGGGGCACTAGAAGATATAACAAAAAATAGGGGCGAGGAGTGATGTCAGAACGATTGAACAGAAAATTAGTCAATGTGATCGCCTTCAATTGTCACTCTGATAAGTTATTAATTTGTGTTTACGATGGCGCGTCACACTAACGATGCCGGCGAAACGTTTGGGAATGCACCAAGTCAATGGTGAAATGCTGGAAATCAAGAATACTATTGTAGAGGACACGGAACTAGGTACGTTCCACAAGGTCTCCCTGACGCTCCGACCAAGCTGCGAAAACAAGGCCAAAGCAATAGTTTAGAAATGTCCGATATTAAGTAAATAGCTTAAAAATACGTTTTAAAAAAATAATCACATTCGGAGAGAACAAGAATTGTGCCGTGTAGCAATATGTAGCAAGGTACAATTATTCAGTGTCAGAAAAAAGGTGAAAAAGTCCAGACAGCCACTTTTGGTTGTTTGTAGTCAAGTATTTATTCAAAATAATTAATTTTAACTAAGCCTATGCTAAATGCTACAGTTTCGCATACCGGTAAAGCCTGGGAACGAACTGTTTGCTCTCAACGTGTAGAAAGCCTGTCTCACCATGGGCACCCTCCATTACCATGAGGCTGCCACCAAACAAAGCCAAGAACTCGGGACACTCATCTTCCTGCTCCTCACGGGAGGTGCGACATTCGGCCCCTAATAGATTGCGAAGGTTGACTGCATGAATGGCAGCACAGGTCTGCTTGTCGAGTGAAGAAACTAATCCAATCCAATAATAAATTCTCCAATCCAGCCCACCGGTTCGGCCGGTAAACGTCTCCAGCACGATGTAGCAGTCACCGCTAAAAAGTTTTCCCTGTAATGTTTCCTCATCGACGCGCTTCGGATAGAATTCGTCCATTTCCCACATCTCCACTCCAAGACAAGAACCAGTCGACTGGAGAGAGGAGAGAGTAAAAAACCAAGGGTTGAGAAAAGGAAAATGTCGAAAATGACCATGAGTGAGAGTAAAGACAGATAGGACAAAATATATTATAATATAATATAATGCAAGAAAATAAGTGCTGTGGCAGAATAGTTTAGACAGCATTTATAAGCAAAATACTGTTATAAGTGAATAGAATAATTGCAGAGAAGTAGTTAGTCCATCCAAGAATGCTGTGAAAGAAGTTAAATAGTTCGACCTCAATGACTTGATCGGTTCGAATAACATTTGACAGATAATCGAAACAAATCAAAGGCAATATTTATCTGGCTCTCAGTGAGACCTAAAAAGAACTTGTGTCCTGGTGAATTTATAAAGTTCCAAGATACAAATTGTTATTTAATATGTTGTCCAGCACACGCAATGCGCAGGTAATTGACAATATTTCGCAAACAAAACATAGCCTATAGCACAGGTTTATGAATCTCGGGTGCCTGGCTGAACAAATATTATTAGACGGATTTCACTGATTCAACAATAAAAAAGGATTACATTTTATAGAAAATAAAAGCAGATATTACTAGCTCAAGGAATCAGTGGGCACCACTTAAGAGGTAAAATTCAATGTTATGGAGCAAAGATCAGAGACAATCTGACAAGGAAAAATCTAAAAATGATTGTATAAAGATTTGTGAGACATAATAAAGAGCTATGACAATAAGCTTTTTCGTGAGCGAGTAGGTTTTTGAGACTACTAACAAATCACATATATGAATTGACGTGGTTTTTGAGACTACCACTCAATCAGATATATGAGTTATGTTTACTCTATTTCGTGGCGTAGTGGTTAACGAGTCGAGCCTACACGCTGCACGCTGGTTTGACTCTCGCTTGAGGCCTTGATAAGACCTATACGAGGTCGAAACTGCAGTTCACTCTGGATGAGAAGACCTTTTGGGAAAGCAAAGCTATGTGAAATTCAATTGAAAATATCAGCTCTACTTATATGATTGTGCGAAAATTCAACTACCAGTCCTTCATCACCTTAAACGAAATAGGGTAAACCCAACTCATATTTGTCAATAAGAGTTTTTTTAGACGCAATAATTAATATTAGAGCCCTAAACTTATTTCATCCACCGGAAGATTTTTATCTAATATTGATCTAAGTTTTCTAATTGTATACATACATACCTACATGCATACATACATACATACATACATACATAAGTACGTGCATACATACATACCTACATACCTACATACATACATACATACATACATACATAAGTACGTGCGTAAGTACATACACGTGCATACATACATATATATACAAATA